TAATAACAATAATAAAAATAGGACTAGTAACAATAGTCGTTGCAGCTGAGGGTGTCGAGCAGGAACACGGGGGCAGCAGGTGACCCGCAACAACAGATCCAGACTCCACAGCTCCAGAGCCAGAAAACCTGCAGGAAGTGATAGGAGGAGAGAGGAGAGGGACGAGAAAGCACAAGACTACCAGAAAGGGGAGAAGTTGTGTTAGTAACATGCAATAATGGGATGAGGTTGCATACAGAGGGAGAGAAAGTAGAGGAGAGAGGAGCTCAGTGCATCATGGGAAATCCCCAGCAGTTGAGGCCTGTAGCAGCATAACTAAGGGATGGTTCAGGACTCAGCTGAGCCAGCCCTAACTATAAGCTTTATCAAAGAGGAATGTCTTAAGCCTACTCTTAAATGTGGAGATGGTGTCTGCCTCCTGAACCCAAACTGGAACCACAGGAGAGGAGCTTGATAGCTGAACGCTCTGGCTCCTAGTCTACTTTTGGAGACTCTAGGAACCACAAGTAACCCTGCATTCTGGGAGCGCAGTGCTCTGGTGGGATAGTAAGGTACTATGAGCTCTTTAAGATAAGATGGTGCCTGACCATTAAGAGCTTTGTAGGTAAGAAGGATTTTAAATTCTATTCTGGATTTCACTGGAAGCCAATGCAAAGAAGCTAAAACAGGAGAAATATGATCTCTTTTCCTGGTTCCCGTCAGAACACGAGCTGCAGCATTCTGGATCAGCTGAAGAGTCTTAATGGACTTTTCGAGCAGCCTGATAATAAGCAATTGCTGTAATCCAGCCTAGAAGTAACAAATGCATGGACTAGTTTTTCTGCATCATGTTTAGACAGGTTGTTCCTGATTTTCGCAATATTACATAGGTCAAAAAAGACATGTCCTGATCAAAGATAACTCCAAGATTCCTCACAGTGGTGCTGGAGGCCAGGCGATGCCATCCAGGGAAACTATATCTTTAGATAATGCGTCACGGAGGTGCTTAGGCCCAGAACAATAACTTCAGTTTTATCTGAGTTTAACATTAGAAAATTACAGATCATCCAGGTTTTAACATCCTGAAGGCACATTTGAAGTTTAGCTAACTGATGAGTTTCATCTGGCTTGATCGATAGATATAACTGAGTATCATCTGCATAACAATGAAAGCTTATGGAATATTTCCTGATAATATTGCCTAAAGGAAGCATATAAAGTGAAGAGGATTGGTCCGAGGACAGATCCTTGTGGAACTCCATGACTAACTTTGGCATGCATGGAGGACTCATCGTTAACATGTACAAACTGAAATCGATCTGATAAATAGGACTTAAACCAGCTTAGAGCAGTTCCTTTAATGCCAATGAAATGTTCCAGTCTCTGTAATAGGATCTGATGGTCAATGGTATCAAATGCAGCACTAAGATCTAATCAAACCAGTACAGAGACAAGTCCTTTGTCAGACAAGTCTGATGCAATGAGGAAGTCATTAGTAATTTTCACCAGTTCTGTCTCTGTGCTATGATGGACTCACACAGCTGTTTAGCAACTGCTTTCTCCAGAACCTTAGAGAGAAATGGAAGGTTAGATATAGGTCTATAGTTGGCTAAAACATCTGGATCAAGTTTGGGCATTTTCAGAAGAGGTTTAATTACAGCTACTTTAAAGTACTGTGGTACATAGCCTGTTGATAAAGATAAATTGATCATATCTAGTATAGAAGTGCTGACTAAAGGTAAAACTTCTTTAAGCAGCCTAGTCGGGATGGGGTCTAAAAGGCAGGTTGATGGTTTAGATGAAGAAATTATTGAAGATTGAGGGAAGCAAAACAGTCTAAACATATATCTGGTTCTACAGTTGTTTTTAAGGTTCCTGAGTTTAGAGATAAGTTGGTGCCAGTTGAGGGCAGGTCTTGGTGAATTTTGTTTCTAATAGTTAGAATTTTATCATTAAAGAAGCTCATGAAGTCGTAATTACTGAGAGCTATGGGAATACTTGGCTCAATAGAGCTGTGACTCTCTGTCAGCCTGGCTACAGTGCTGAAAAGAAACCTGGTGTTGTTCCTATTTTCCTCTATTAATGACGAGTAGTACGCTGCTCTGCGTAGTACGCTGCTATGTGATTGAAGAATGAAAGAATCATAACAAAATGTAGTTTACATAAATATGAAATACTGAACAGCGTTGTATGGAATAGATACTAAATGTATCGTCAGCATACGATGATATAATGAAGTTTATCTTAGATTTTACACAGTTTTTGTCTTATGACATCTATAAAGAGAGACTTCGCATTTATAATTTAGAACTGAGAAATGCAAGGCAGTCCTTCTTCTCTGACATCATCACCAAAAACACTAATAATGCACGTGCCCTGTTTGCTACTGTCAACAGGCTAACCAACCCTCCTGTGTCTGTAGCCTCTGGACTTCTATCCACCAGGGCCTGCAATGAATTTGCCACCTTCTTCACAGACAAAATTCAAACAATTAGACAAGCAATCAGTGCTTCCATATCAGTTACAGGATTTGTCTTGTCCCTGTGTCCACTTAAAAACAATTTATATAGTATGACACAATTTGATTCTATTAACCATAAAAACCTGGAGGACATAATACAACATCTGAAATCCTCTTCATGGTGCCTTGATATAGGTTTTTTCAAAAATGTTTCTAAATATATGGCTTCAGATCTACTACAAATTGTCAACATGTCTCTCCTCTCAGGTTTTTTCCCACAGGCCCTGAAAACTGCAGTCATTAAGCCACTCTTAAAAAAGAGCAATCTGGACAGTTCACTAATGAGCAATTACAGGCCCATATCAAATCTCCCATTTTTAAGTAAAGTCATTGAAAAGGCTGTTTTTCAACAGCTTAGTGCATTCTTGGCACCAAATAACTGTTTTGATGTCTTCCAGTCAGGATTTCGACCACACCACAGCCCTGAGACGGCTCTTGTTAAGGTCTTCAATGACATCCATTTAAACACTGACAGTGGCAGAATTTCAGTCTTATTATTATCTCAGTGCTGCATTCGACAAGGTCGACCACAACATATTACTAGGCAGACTTGAAAAGTGGGTTGGACTTTCTGGCACAGTACTAAAATTGTTTGAATCCTACTTAAAGGACAGGGACTACTTTGTGTCTATAGGTAATCACACATCTGAGCTGAAAAAAATGACAAAATGAAAAAATGGAATTCCCCAAGGCTCCATTCTGGGGCCCCTTTTGTTTAACATTTACATGCTTCCACTGGCTCAGATTATGAAAAACAGCAAAATAGGTTACCATAATTATGCAGATGACACACAGATTTACATAACCATTTCACCAGGGGACTATGATCCCATACAAGTGCTGAGTAATTGTATTGAGCAGGTTAATGGCTGGATGTGCCAGAATTTTCTTCAATTGAACAAAGACAAAACTGAAGTTATTGTTTTTGGAGCCAGGGAAACGACTGAAAGTCAGCGCTCGACTTTAATCTGTAATGATAAAAACCACAAATCAAGCCAGAAATCTTGGTGTGGTCATGGACTCAGACCTGGATTTGAGGAGCCACATTAAGACAAGTCAGCCTACTATCACCTGAAGAATATATCATGGATTAAAGGACTTATGTCTCATGTATCCATGCATTTATCTTCAGTCGAGTCGACTACTGTAACAGTGTCCTAACAGGGCTCACTAAGAAATCCATCAGACAGCTGATTCAGAACGCTGCTGCTCGAGTCCTCACTAAGACCAAAAAAGATCACATCACTCCAGTTCTAAGGTCTTTACATTGGCTTCCTGTATGTCAAAGAATTGAAAATCCTGCTGTTAGTTTATAAAGCACCAAATGGCCAAAATACATTTCTGATCTTCTGCTTCGTTACGAACCATCCAGAACTCTCAGGCCGTCTGGGGCAGGTCTGCTTTCTGTCCCCAGAGTCAAAACTAAAAAAAGAGAAGCAGCGTTCAGACTGAGGGAGGTTTTTGTATGACCCTTTTCACTGTGTGAACAAAAGTTGACTGTTGATGTTATGTCGACCCTGACAGTAGTAAACTGCTACATCTTCAGTCTGGACTCCACTAATGGCAAAATTAAAATCAGTGTCTGATCCACTGCCTGTAAAACGATTTGGGATCCCTGATGGTCGACGTTTAGCATAGTAAATTAACAGTTTAGGAGTTTCTCCTTCTTTCTGTTGGTACCATTCCACAGAGTCAGAATTAATAACAGTCTGACTGATTTTACATCTGATGGAGACGGAGCCTCCCAGAGCAGAGCTCACTGCTCCAGGCTGAGTCACTGTGACCTGGCCTCTGGACTCTGAGGATACAGAGACAAAAACATAAAGCAGCATCATGGTTTTGTGGGCTTCATTTCAGAGGGACGGATGTTCATAGAGGAGAGGAGTTTGATTCTCTGGACTTTACCTGTGAAGCAGCAGCAGAGGAGAGTCCAGATGAGGACGCAGATCAAAGTCATGTTTTTGATGAGGAGGATTTCTGTGGCTTCTGTTGTCATGAAGGACAGCTGTCAGTCATCCAGTGTTCAACTCTCAGGACTATAAACTCTCCCAGAGCACTGGAGCATGGTGCTGCTGATGCAAAGTGGCTCTCTATGGAAATGCTCTGACTGACTCCAGCAGGATATTGGATTACTCTGATGATGCTGTTTATCAATGGATCAATCAGTTTGTCACTTTATTGATTAGGGAATTTTCAAACCCTATTTTACATGATTTGGGGTTTATTTTTCTGGACATATAGACAGTATCCAACTGCATCATCTCTCATTAAACTGTATTGCTACAGAAATTACCATCAATTTATGTTAAAGTTAATATATATAAAAATAAAAAATTGAGTGGAAATTTATTGGCTATTGTTATTTTTCATGTCAGCTGAAAAAAAGTACCATCAGAGACTATTTTTGTTGAGTTTGTTTGTGTCAAAGTCAGAGAGCCGTGTCTCTCTACAGTGAGAGGTTTTTGTACGGCAGCTCAATGAGTTTGTATCACTGTGGTGGACTTTTGGTGGAGGAACCAGACTGGAGGTTAACTGTAAGTACATTTGACTCCTTTCATATCCCAAATTTTAAATGTATTCTAATTGAAATTCATAGCTGTAGATATAACTAAAATGTTTAGCCTGATAAAGTAAATTTGCAACAATTCCTGAAGGTTTCACAGTGTCGTTAACCAGACAACAATCAACTCTAATTAAATATTGTGTTGCACTTAAACTTTAAGTTTAATTTTGTACATTTTTATCAGATTATTGTAAAAACAAAACAAAAAAACAACCGTGTATCACTCTGTAAGAAAAAAAAGTTTCATTCCAACTCAATAAATCTACCAAAGATTTTGTTCAGTGTTAAATGTGCATGTTACTTGATCCTTCTGCCAGACTCATGATTAAAGCCATTTAACATATTTTAGTGAGAATTGTTTGAGTTTGAAAAGTAGTTTAGTCATTAACAAAATTCCTTTGAATGTTTTAGTAATGAAGCCAGACTGTTCAGTGATGATTTCTGTTTAAATGCAGAGAACAAACACATTATCATTTATAAATGTAATTTATGAGGTTTTTGATTGAGACAAAAAATATTTTAGAATGTTTAAATAATAAAATCTTTAGGGAATCAAGACTATTTAAAACTTAAAAAATAAAACTTCTTTTCAAAATGTAACTGTACACCCGAGTAAAAGTGTGTCAGTTTTAACATTTTATCTTTAGTACTGAAACCTGTCTGCTGTCATGGTTCAGCAGTGATGACAGTCTGTTGCCATGGTTACTGAGTTCAGAGAGGGAAGTGAAACATTTGAATTCCGTTTCATCCAGTCCAAGGAAGACCAACATAAACTAGCAGCCCCCCTTAACTGCAACCAACAATTCGATAGAGCTCTTATTAACTTTGTTAAATTCTCTCTCTGCAGTGGGTCGAGTCGCCCCCACCCTGACGGTGCTGCCCCCCTCCAGTGAGGAGCTGCAGCAGGGGAAGGCCACGCTCATGTGCCTGGCCAACAAGGGCTTCCCCTCAGACTGGAGTCTGGCCTGGAAGGTGGACGGCAGCAGCAGCAGCAGCAGCAGCTGGGAGGAGAGCAGGAGCCTCGGGGTGCTGGAGAAGGACGGCCGCTACAGCTGGAGCAGCACCCTGAGGCTCCCTGCAGACCAGTGGAGGAAGGTGGGCTCTGTGACCTGTGAGGCCACCCAGGGCTCCCAGGCTCCGCTCTCAGAGACACTGAGGAGAGACCAGTGTTCCCAGTCCTGACCTGACTCACTGGGACTTTGATATTGGCTTTATTCTGCCACAGCTCTCAGTCTCTCTGTAACGCTTCCTCTCTCTTTTTCCCTCACTTTATGGCAGCAAAATAATTTCAGTTTTGAAGTGTAATTTCTTTTTGCATTCAGTAATGTTTAAATTCTCAGAATACTTTAACAATAAAGATGTAATGATCAAACAAGTTGTGTTGAGCATATTATTATAAGTATGACGGCTGGTTCAAGTGATCACAGAAGATCCATTATGTACACTAAGACTGAGGTTGTATCAGGGAAAAAATGCATTAATTTTATAATGGTAGCTGACTGTTTTAGAAAGAAATGATTGGCTCATTTAATGCACATCCATCTTTTCAGATACTCAGTTTAAAGCTGGAGAGTGTGAAGAGTGATAAAATACTTTAATTACTGACCAGATTGTGTAATAAAAGAAGGAAAGATGGTGGTTGTGACATGTTTGGTCAGATATCATCAACATAAAATTTATCTTTATGATGAAGTGACTAGGAGCCTCTGGGATGCTGGAAAGTTTTAATGCAAAGTACAAAGAGTGATGAGTGTGCACATCATCTGGCTTTTGTAATTAAATACAGTAAGAGCTGGTTGTGTGTCTTCTGGTACTGTTTTGGACTAGTTTGAAATTTTGACTTCATGTGAGGATTTTTGTGTAAACTGAGGACAATTTGTTTACTCTCAGCCTTAAGAATTGGTTTAAGTGTAAAAGTTTGAGGTTTTCCTTAAGGTGAAGGTGAAGGTTGTGGCTTGAAATGTGTGTGTGTGTGTCCTCAGTGAAGTGTATCAGTCTCTGCAGTAGCTTCCAGCTGCAGCAGTCAGTTCAGTTTCTGTTCAGTCTGACTGAGGGAGGTTTTTGTACGACGCTTTTTCACTGTGGACACTGCCTGTTGATGTGTGCACTCTGACAGTAGTAAATTGCTGCATCATCAGTCTGGACTCCACTGATGGTCAGAGTGAAGTCAGAGTTTGATCCACTGCCTGTAAAACGACTTGAAGTCCCTGATAGTGGCCTGACAGCATCAAAAATGAGCAGTTTAGGAGTTTCTCCAGGTTTCTGTTGGTACCAGGCTAAATAGTGGTAGTTAAAAAAATATACATCCTGACTGGTCCTACATTTGATGGAGACGGAGCCTCCCAGAGCAGAGCTCACTGCTCCAGGCTGAGTCACTGTGACCTGGCCTCTGGACTCTGAGGATACAGAGACAAAAACATAAAGCAGCGTCATGGTTTTGTGGGCTTCATTTCAGAGGGACGGATGTTCATAGAGGAGAGGAGTTTGATTCTCTGGACTTTACCTGTGAAGCAGCAGCAGAGGAGAGTCCAGATGAGGAAGCAGATCAAAGTCATGTTTTTGATGAGGAGGATTTCTGTGGCTTCTGTTGTCATGAAGGTCATCCAGTGTTCAACTCTCAGGACTATAAACTCTCCCAGAGCACTGGAGCATGGTGTTGCTGATGCAAAGTAGCTCTCTATGGAAATGCTCTGACTGACTCCAGCAGGGACTTGGATTACTCTGATGATGCTGTTTATCAATGGATGAATCCATTTGTCGTTTTACTGATTAGGGAATTTTCAAACCGTACTTTACATGATTTGGGATTTATTTATCTGGACATATAAACAGTAACCAACTGTATCATCTCTCATTAAACTGTATTACCACAGAAATTACCATCAATTTAAGTTAAACTTAATATATAAAAATAAAAATTTGAGTGGAAATGTTTGGCTATTATTATTTTTCATGTCAGCTGAAAAAAAATGTACCATCAGAGACTATTTTTGTTGAGTTTGTTTGTGTCAAAGTCAGAGAGCCGTGTCTCTCTACAGTGAGAGGTTTTTGTACGGCGGCTCAATGAGTTTGTATCACTGTGGTGGACTTTTGGTGGAGGAACCAGACTGGAGGTTAACTGTAAGTACATTTGATTCCTTTCATATCCCAAATTTTAGATGTATTCTAATTGAAATTCATAGCTGTAGATATAACTAAAATGTTTAGCCTGATAAAGTAAATTTGCAACAATTCCTGAAGGTTTCACAGTGTCGTTAACCAGACAACAATCAACTCTAATTAAATATTGTGTTGCACTTAAACTTTATGTTTAATTTTGTACATTTTTATCAGATTATTGTAAAAAACAACAAAAAAACAACAACCGTGTATCACTCTGTAAGAAAAAAAAGTTTCATTCCAACTCAATAAATCTACCAAAGATTTGTTCAGTGTTAAATGTGCATGTTACTTGATCCTTCTGCCAGACTCATGATTAAAGCCATTTAACATATTTTAGTGAGAATTGTTTGAGTTTGAAAAGTAGTTTAGTCATTAACAAAATTCATTTGAATGTTTTAGTAATGAAGCTAGACTGTTCAGTGATGATTTCTGTTTAAATGCAGAGAACAAACACATTATCATTTATAAATGTCATTTATGAGGATTTTGATTGAGACAAGAAATATTTTAGAAGATCAATAAAAGCTTCACAGTCTTCAGGAGATCAAGATTATTTGAAACTCTTAGAAAGTTTGGCAGTTTCAACTTTAGTACTGAAACCGTCTCTTTTGCCATGGTTCAGCAGTGATGCCTGTCCGTTGCCATGGTTACTGAATTTAGAGAGGGAAGTGAAACATTTAAGACCAGTTTCATCCACACTGAGGAAGACCTACAGAAACTAGTAGCCTCCCATTGCTGCATCCAACAATTTAGTTTAGTACATATAAACTTTATTTTCTCTCTCTCTGCAGTGGGTCGTCTAGTCCCCACCCTGACGGTGCTGCCCCCCTCCAGTGAGGAGCTGCAGCAGGGGAAGGCCACGCTCATGTGCCTGGCCAACAAGGGCTTCCCATCAGACTGGAGTCTGGCCTGGAAGGTGGACGGCAGCAGCAGCAGCAGCAGCTGGGAGGAGAGCAGGAGCCCCGGGGTGCTGGAGAAGGACGGCCGCTACAGCTGGAGCAGCACCCTGAGGCTCCCTGCAGACCAGTGGAGGAAGGTGGGCTCTGTGACCTGTGAGGCCACCCAGGGCTCCCAGGCTCTGGTCTCAGAGACACTGAGGAGAGACCAGTGTTCCCAGTCCTGACCTGACTTACTGGGACTTTGATATTGGCTTTATTCTGCCACAGCTCTCAGTCTCCCTGTAACGCTTCCTCTCTCTTTTTCCCTCACTTTATGGCAGCAAAATCATTTCAGTTTTGAAGTGTAATTTCTTTTTGCATTCAGTAATGTTTAAATTCTCAGTATACTTTAACAATAAAGACGTAATGATCAACCAAGTTGTGTTGAGCATATTATTATAAGAATGACGGCTGTCTCAATGGATCACAGAAGATACATAATGTCCATTGAGACTGAGGTTGTATCAGGGAAAAAATGCATTGATTTTATAATGGTAGCTGACTGTTTTAGAAAGAAATGATTGACTCATGTAATGCACATCCATCTTTTCAGATACTCTAGTATTTCTCTCAGTAAGGGGACGTACTTGAGCTTAACTGCTCTCTTAAAGTTTACTGAAAAGAAAATTCCTTCAAATACTAACCAGATTGTGTAATAAAAGAAGGCAAGACGGTGGCTGTGACATGTATAGTCAGATATCATCAACATACAAATAGATTTTTAAGCTGAATAAACTATGAGGCTCTGGGATCCTGGAAGCCTTTACAAAGTACAAAGAGTGATGAACGTGCACATTATCTAGTTATGGTATTAAAATGCAGTAAGAACTGGTTGTGTGTCTTCTGGTGCATTTTGGGACCAGTTTGAAACAGAGATGGGGCCTCAAGTTAGATACTTGGACTCGAGTGCGACTTAAGTCGCACACACAGTGACTTGAGACTCAACTTGATACTCGTCCTGAAAAGACTTCAGACTTGACTCGGACTCGAAGCGTGGGACTCGTGAACAATGTTTTTATTTTAGGAAACTTCTGACGAGTGTGTCTTTATTCCCTCTCTCCGTTACCTATAACCTGCCTAAGTAACATGTAGCATCTGCTGCGTGTGGCCACATGTGAGACAGAACAACAAACTGCGGCAGCTGCTGTGCCATTCATCATAAACTTTGGCTTTAAAATTTCATACAACAAGACCCAAACAAAGAAGCGCTGAACGTAAATAGGTTAGTAATCTGTGGTGAGTAAACACCACCAGCTCAGCATTTGCCAAGTAACGTTAGCTTGCTTCTTGCTTCAGCTACGACCTACGAGAGGTTTACTCCGACTGTCGTTCGTTATGATAAGATGAATGAGCGTTTGTTTACTTGCCAAACTTGTGGTGGTCGATTAATGTAATTATTACGTCCCGCTGGCTGCCATCACGTTAGTTATTACCGTTGGCTGGAAAGAAGTTACAGGTTTATTGTTGATCATGTAACCTGACAGTTTTATTTAGTTATAATGTTACACTGGTTTGAGAGTCTGGGGGATGTGTGTAATCCACATTTTATATGTAATGTAATTGAATTTCATAGTTGTAGATAAAATATTTAGTCTGATATAGTAAGTTTGCCAGAATTCCTGAAGGTTTCACACTGTCATTAATGAGAATAAAACTTAAACTAACTAAAGTTTAACATAAACTTTCTACATTCTCATCAGATTATTAAAAAACAAAACTAACGTTTAAGTGTTAATAGTACATTTCCAGCTCAAGAACTCTGCCAACAAGTTTTAATTCAGTGTTTAATGAGTATGTTTCTCAACCTTTATCCCAGACTACTGAGTTAATATTATTCATTTGAATGTTTCAGTAATGAAGCCTGACTGTTCAGTGATGATTCCTGTTTACATGAAGAGAACAAACTCATATCTTCATTTATGATGTTTGTGTTTGAGACAAGAAATGTTTTAGATAGCTTCAGCATCTTCATCTTATGTGTAATAATTTAAATATGAACTTCTGACTGAGAAAATACACACTGAAATCAAAGAATGCAATTTTAACTTTTTATCTTTAGTACTGAAACCAGTCTGTTGCTGTGGTTCATCAGTGATGCCTGTCTATTGCCATAGTTACTGAGCTCTGAGAGGGAAGTGAAACCCTGAAGAACATTTTCCTTCGATGAACAAGAACTAACAGGATGGACTTTAGTTTAGCTCATATAAACATTATAAATCTCTCTCTCTGCAGTGGGTCGAGTC